GGGGGTGGGCACAGGCAGAGAGGCTGGGGCATCTCCCACCTTGCAGGGACACGACTGATTCAACGGACTGGCACAGGACAGGGCCACCATACACAGGATGCAGCTGAGAAGGCTCCCTCAGCCCCACTCTATCCTCACCCGACTTATTAAGCAATGGGGGCTCTCTGGGCCAACTAACTAATTTGCAGGTTTCTCTAATTACACTTACTAATGAGGGATTGGGAAAAGCTGGATCTGTGGGTATTAAAGGCAAACTGCTAGGCTTCAGCCTTCTGGGCTGAGGTTGTATGTGCTGGAGTATGGCTGGGTTGTCAGAATTGCTCCAGGAGTTTGGTGGCAGGAGGAACATCTCTTGATGGGAGTATGGCTGAGATGAGGGCTGCAGACATCACGGCGTCCATGTGCTGTTTCCTGGTCTGTCAGGTGTGTATCAGGAAGCTGTGACCATGGGTTACCAGTTCTGGGGTGCGTCTGGACTGCTGGGAGGGTGCCATGTGGGACACAGCAGGGTGTGCTGGGAGCTGACCTGGGGAAATGCTAGCTGAGGGATAGTTGTTACTTGTGGTGAAGCAGAACAGGCTGTGGTGTGAGCTGAGGCTGTGAGGAGCGCTGGGGCCTGGGGCTGGGAAAGCAGAAGGGTTGGTGGCTGTTTCCTTAGGAGCTGGGAGGGAGGAAGACAGCAGGTGCCTGAGAAATACTCATTACCTCCCAGAAAGTGGGCAGGGAGGTGGGCGCTTGGGCGCGGGAAGGCTGAATGGCATGGGGGGATGTGCACTGGGAGCTGAGGCTGGGGGTTGTGCCCTCTGGCAGTGAACAGCAAAGCAAGGGTTACAAACTGGGAGCCCACCAGCTGCCCCTGTAACCCTAAATGTTCTCCTAAGCAGTGCCCCAGGCTGAGCTGACAGTAAATGCAGAAGCTTGCACTGCCACCAGCACAGACCAAAGCAGCTTGGAGGGGAGGTTGGGGCTGAATCTGTGAGCTCCAGGATGGAGACAGCTGGCACAGGGCATGGCTGGGCTGTCCTTGCTGCAAGGTGCCACCGCTGAAGAGGCTGTGGGGACGCACACCGGGGTGCCAACCCTACATCTCCTGGTGCTCCTTCCCCAGGCACGTGGCTGCGTGAGGGAGGGGACAGACCAGCACTCTGGGTGGGTGACAGTCTGTGGGGCACCCCTCCTCTGCTGGCTGCCGCATGGTGTGTTGTTATGACCCCTCCAGTTACCCTCCCACCCAGCAAGCGGGTCGTGGTCCTCAGCTGCTGGCAAGCAGCACAGAGCGAGGCAGGCAAAGGCAGCAACACGCAGCTGGCTGCGGGAGGCAGCTAGGCACGGCTTATCTTCTACAGATCCTACAGATGCCCCCTCCAGAACCCCGGTGGGTGGGTGGTGGATGGTGTCCGGGGTGCTCTGTGTCTTGAGGGGACAAGACCTGGGCATGTGATGAGGGCTCTGCAGACCCACCCCATGGTCCCCACTGGCTTTACACTGGAAATGGGCTGGCTGGATATGGAGACATTCAAGTCTGCTTACAAAATGTCTGACATGGATTTAGGAGTTGCATTTGGGCTGCAGTGGGGGTTCCTATAAAGCAGGGCTTCTGCTCTATGAGGAGGTGACCCACGGGTTTGCCCAGACTAATGTGGGACCCATGCACTGGTGGAGCAGAGTCCAGCTGCAAATGAGAGGTCCGTGTGGAGGATATATCTGGGCCCTGGCTCCCCAGGAGGGAGGGCATGGCTCCAGGATGTGCAAGGCTGGAAATCTGGGGAGGCAGGCAGAACTTCAGGGCAAGGAGCAACCCTGGCAGGAGGCTGGAATGGGCATGCAGCTGTGGGATGCAGGCAGTGGGGACTCTGGCATCCCCTGCCTGCCCAACCAAGGTGCAGGGGGCATCTGGCCCTGGTTCAGGACAGGGCTTGAGTGGGAGCTCACAGGAGGGTTACTCCAGTGAACAGGGACCTTGGGCTTGAGCCATCTGTGCTTGGAAAATGAGGCTGCTTGTGTCATGTGAGTCACAAGAGCTTCCTGTGGCTTGTCAGCATCTTGGGGCCAGGGCTGCACTTTCCTCTTCTGGAGGCACGTGCACTGCTGGGGCTCAGGCCAAGCCAATGCCAGTGGCCACAGCAACCTGTTCTCCTGATCCGAATGTCTGTAACTGCCAAGGCGTGGAAATTCTAACTTGTAGGATGAGTGAAGGCTGCTGAGCTTGAGGGATACCCTGCCCGCATGGCTGTGTCCCATACTGAGCAGGAAGGATGCCAGCTTCGGCCACCCCTAGGAAGCTCATCCCCAGCCTTGAGAGGTCCTAAGCTTCCTTGCCAAGCCTGTTTCACTGGGCCATGATCTCTGCTTGGCATGGGTACAGGGCATTGATGTTGAGCAGGTGGAGGACCTGAAGCAGGCAGAGGTCAATTCTCAGCGGGGGGGGCAGATCAAGAAAGCCCTGCCGCTGGGTTCACTAGGGCAAGTCCTCCAAGCCTAGCATGTTCACGGCTGCCTTGGGAAGCTGTGAAGGAAGACAAACTATCTGAGGTTTCCATGATCTGCTCCCTGCGCTGTTACCTGCATCCCAATGACCTGATGGTGCTGGAGACCCCGGTGCCCGCGGCGTTACCTGTGATCTCGTGCTGCCTCAGCTCATTGTATCTGTAGGACTGCTCCAGGGGCTTGATGGAGGAGTGGTAGATCTTCCTCAGCCGCTGCAGTACTCCTGCAGGGGCAGAAGCATGTGGAGGGGTGAAAGGCAAACCACATCACCCTGGCTGAGTCCCTCCCAGGTAAGCTGCTGAGCATTCCCTGCAGATCTTGAGGGTGACTCAGCCACGGATCAAGGGACTTGGCTAGCAGTCAAAATCTTGGCCAAACTGATCCCAGTCATGCATTTTGATGCCCCTCCCTGCTTATGTTTCCTGCTGGGCACTGTCCCCATCTGCTGCTGGTCTTGCACATGCCAGCAGCTGATGGAAGGAACATCTTTCATTAATGCTGTTTAGCACTCAACACTCATGATCACAAAAGCCCTCCATGATGGTGCCAGGGACCCATGACACAGCCCTTCAGCTGCTGTGTAGAAGAAAGAAGGAACTTTTCCTGCAGAGGCATTTGTCACTTGCTTCCCAGTCCAGACTGCCTGTGGGGCCAGCAGAAGCAAGGCTTATAATAGCAAAAGTCAATAAATAATCAGAATAAAAATCCGACCCCTGTATGTTGCCCTGGGTTTCTCTGGTCAGCAGTGTGGCTGGCTTGGGCTGGTTCACCTTCTACATTTTCCAGCATGTCTGCCTTCTTTAGTCTTGTATGCTCTTGGGGCTGTCTTTAAAATACCTAAAGTATTTTATACCTAAGTATACCGGCGAGCAGCAAAAGGACTGTTATGGAAGATATGGTGTTGCTGGGCCTACAAGAACTAAGGTTAAAATCAAGACACTCTAGGGAGGGGAGATCCCATCCATGCTCTAGGTGCAGCAGAATAGTGAGGAGTTTGTCCTGCGGGGATTGCATGGGCTGCAGGAGCAGGGCATGCATGGCTTGGTGCCCCCAGGGCCCCCTCACCTGAGAAATCATCGGCAGGTTTGTCCTCGTTCAGCTTGAGGGTGCTCTCCAAGTGGGACCGGTCGCGCTTGGTCGGCTCGCTGGCATCTTCAACCTCTTCTGGAGGAAAAAACAAGGAGACCTGTTACTGCCAGAGCTGGGGACGCAACACAGGAGCTCACACAAGCAGCTGCCAGGGAGAGGGCATGGGGGAGCACGCACACCCTGTGCCCATGGACCCATCATGCTCCTTGGCAGCTGCTGTCGCCTTTGGCTCGCTGCACAGTTTCTCTTTTGCAAAGGCTCCTGAAGACTCAGCAGAGGCTGCCAGAGCTCTGGCTGCTGGGGGAAGCATTGTGGGCAATGCCTTGGCTGGCAAGGGTGGCATGTCATGTCTGCTGGGGGGGAGTGAGGGCTGGCTGCTTGCAGGGAATGCAAAGGATGTGCCTGGAAGGGGCTCCCGGGGCTGGGGAGTAGTGAGAGCACGCAGGGCAGCTGCTGCCTGACCAGCCCCCCCGCGTGTCCCCCGGCAGCTGCAGCTTCTCCAGGGCTAAGCCTTGGCTGCAGGTGTGCTCTGCTCTGCCTGCCTGCCTGCCTGTCCGTCTGCTCCCCCCAAAATTACACATTGAGCCAGAGACCTGAGGATGTGCAAGGCTGGGGCTGACTCTTGAGAGACCTGACCCACCCCAGCTGCCTCGCCTTTGCCAGTGGGGTCATGCCCTCCCACTGCTGCCCTCGTATCAGGCTGGAGCCCTCTGCGTGGGGCCCTGGCTCGGGGTGGTCCTGGGGACCCCACGGCTCCGTGCCAGGCCCAGAGAGCTGCCTCTGCCTGTGGTAGGGAGACAGACGTGTCCTCACCCCGGAGGTGCTGGCACACAAGGGTCCTGGGCAGCTCCAAGTGCTTTCTGATATCAAGAGCTGGATCAGGCTTTAGTCGGGGTTTGGGGGCAGGTCTGGGGACACCTGTGTGCTGGCTGGCTGGGGGGGGGGAACCTGGGCCAAGCAGGGCACTGCCGAGCCCCACAGATTTGTTGAGTGTCTACTGAGTGTTGGGCTGGGGAAGACCTTTTCACTTGCCAAGTAAAGCCACAGAGACCAAACTGAGTTTCCCTTTTGACACAAGTGGGAACTTTTTGAGCTGGGACGTTAGAGATGAAAGCAGAAAAAGACTCTGCTGGGTCCAAAGGTCGCTGCCCAACCCGTGGTCCAAAGTCCACAAGCGTTTCTAGGAAATTGTGGTGGTGGGGTGTCCCTTTTCCTTAGCTGTCCTTTCAGTGCCCAGAACTGGACCTTCGACGACTCGTCGGTTGGAGCTAGCTATTCACACATACCCGACGAGGCAAGGGCTGGTGGACAAGAGGCCCACCAGCCCAGGCAACGTCCTGCCCGTGCACCAAGAGAGACAGGGGTCTGGAGGACTCTGAGGGTGGAGAGCCTTAAGAGGTCTGCGGATGCTGAAAGGGGCCTGGGTGTTAAATCTCTTAGCCGTGTCCACAGCCCAGAGAAGAAATCATGGGCTTAAAGCGCAGCGAGGGAAATGTCGGACAGCTTTGGTCTCGCTGCGATGAGCGCTGGCGTTGCAGGCGTCTGCAGGCTCTTGCCTGTGCCTTCAGTGCCCACGGCCGGCCCAGCCTTGCAGCGGTTAGGGGCAGGCATGGGAAGCACAAGCGTTAGGAGAGGGCCATGCACTAGGCGCAGTTTAATGTGCCAAGCTCAGCTCCGCTGGGGGTTGATAGTAGGTCACTCTCGCTGCTACAGCACACCGACAAGAAAAGACTCCAACCTATCTGGCCGTGCCAGAGCTTGGCAGCAGCGGGGTTGGTGCTGAGGTCAGGCAGGATCTCCTTTTCCACCAGCGATGGCTTGTCTGCAAGGGGGTCTTCTACAACTGCCGGCGGGTCTTCTACAACTGCCGGCGGGTCTTCTGCTGTT